CGAGACCACTTGTTTCTGCTTGGAAAATGAAAGTCAAGGTTGCAGGCAGTCAACTCGTTAACCCACCTGTTGCGCCGCAGGTCTTCCTCAAGCTGCTGAACCTTACAGTGGCTGGGCAAATGACAAGGTCTTACTCAAAGGTAGCGCTGGCCAAACCTGTGATGTCAACAAACCAATTAGATTGTTCAAGAGGAGATGACTGTTGCCCAAATGCCGTAAGACCATTGTAGGGTCAAGGAGCGACTTAGGATCAGGGTCCATTTGGCCATGCCTCCAAATCTTGGGACAATGAGACAAGGATTGGTTGAAAAACATGCTACAATGACTCCGGCACCAGGCAGGGCAACCTGCGACATTTGATCATGTGTTTCATTTTTTCATGTTTGGTTTTGAATGGTTTTGATATGTTTTGACCCACCGGCTGCGATGGCTTTGACCCTCTCTTTTTGTGGTCTTAGGCCCATCTCAGCCGAGCACAGCAAGGCACATCTGAGTGCACGACCTGCGACATAACGCAGCATGTGCATGCAATGTACCTGGCTTGGTTTATTATGTCAAACTGAAAGGTTGAAGAGTTCCTGGACGAGCAACACCTTGTTTGATATTGTTTGATGCACCCATCTTGTAATTTCCCAAGAGGACAACCTGTACGTCCTTGGGCATGGGTCAAGACCTTGTTTGAGCAGCTTTGATTGATCCATATTGATCCCTTTGCAGACCATGTTTGATGCTCGCGCAGAGCCATACACACCCAGAGAACATTGATCATTAGAGTAGTCATTAGAGGATATTGGAGGTGGATCGGCAACAGTGATGGCACGTGCCTTGGCACCGGCAGGACCTCCGTACGAAGTCGCGGCTCCGCATCCGACAAAACGTCTGGCGAAAGTGATGTCAACGAGGCCAACAACGTGCAGTTATTAATGGAGGAAGGGGGGACACGCTAGTATTGCTGTTGCCTGGGTGCTGGATTCTTGGTTGTTCCCGGGTGGCGGGAGGCTTTGGAAGAAGAAGTTTTCAACATCATGGATATGCTATGTGCGGAGCTGAGAAATGCAAAGTTGGTTCGTTCACAGATGCTGGAAGATACCTCCAGGACTGCCCAAAAGTATGAAGGGTGGTCCGGGTGGTTGAGATTACTTCCAAAATCAAAATAAATAACAATAACCTCGCTCGATGTGGTGCTGGAACGCGCGTTCGCGTGTGAGACCATGTGATTGAATTTGGATATTGGGTTGATCGCAGGTATGCAGATTGAGGAACCCCAAGCAGCCTAGATCTTCGGTCTCACTGATGGCCTTCGCATCCATCACATGGAATTCGTTCGCAATATGTCAGTGTTGAGTAGGAACATATCGGACAACACAAGCACGCGCAAAAGAGGTTGAAAGCAGCTGTGGCCGTGGTTGACTTTTGCTCTGTAGTCTGTAATTGTAACCGTTGTAACCTCCAACAAGCAATCAGGTAGACAGGCGTTCACAATTCATTTGCATGGCACTCTTGCTGGGAAACTAGCACAGGCCACCAGAGCAACAAGACAAGATAGTCACAGGATTCAACCGATGCTCGTAGGAGTGTGGGATTCCCAGCTGCCTTGTGATGTGAATTTCGGGATCTCCAGACTGGAGAAGGTCCCCGGTCTGACTGCGGCGTTCCCCCAAACGGGGGCGATGTCAAAAAAATGGGCCTTGAAACGCCGTGATGGTCAGACAAGGGAGTGCGGAGGTCGAGGCATGTGCATCTCCAGGCGGCGGCCTTCAAGCACCTATATAAATGCTTGGTCCACTCCACTCAAAAACTCAAGGCATTGTTTTAGATAATTTAGATAATCGTTTAATTGCATATTTTGTGATGTCTATAATGTGTCCGTCGTTATTTGCAATGATATATATATATATATTTAATACAAATTATATAGTAGGTATTATATATATATATTGTACATTTTGCACGGAGGAATTGCAGGGGAGATCCCTTGGAGTAAACCTGCTGTTTTCCTGGTATTTGCTTGTCCTGGCCGTCGCCATGGGCAGCGTTGTGGCGACGGAGACCGAGCTGAAGGGAATGGAAGAGCTTGGAGAACGGCTGAAGAGGGCGCCTTGGACCACATTGAATCCGTACGGCGTGCCGTACGGCCTCTGATTTTGATGGTTGGATCCAGCACCCCACACTAAGGGTGGATGATAGGGTCATATTTCATGACAAATTGTAATGAGTTTTGCTAGTAGTTCTGCTATATACTGTAATTGCATGCCTGGTCACCCACCAGCTCAACAGGGCAACAGGGATGCTTTAAGAGTTTCTTAGCCTGTGCACCACATGGTTTGATGAAACACGGCTGTTTCAAAAGGAAGGATCGGATAGTAGTCAGTCTGACCAATTCAAGCCTTGTGGCCTTCAAGCCTCAGATGGCACCAAACCCGCAAAGTGGTTGACGTGGACCCGGGAATGGATGTCGTCCGAGGTTGTATCCGGGTTTGAAACTACTGCAATGTAAACTCTAACTTGTGAGGTATTTGACGGAGATGATGAACGAAGATGTTTTCATATTGTTTGCATCATTGTTCTAGGGTGCTTGAGTATTGGAAGAAACCTATTGTTACTTTAATGTGTTCGGATCTCGAAGGGTATTTGTTTGGAAGAAGCAGAGATGTTGGAGGTGATACCCACTAGATCCCACTAAATGTTTTTTTTGCGCATAACTAATCTCCTTTCCCTCTCCCAGAAGTATATAAATAATTCCATCGGACAGCAAGAAGGATCCAACAAAAGGGTTCCTAGGTTGGAGGCCATTCCTATTAGAGCAGCCACTACTTCGCCCTTGGACGCCAAGGTCTCACCCTGGAGCGATCTCATCCATCGCACCCACCAGCGGCTGATCCTGCGCAATGAGCTGGCGGAGCTCTGCTGCACGGATCTCACAGAGGAGGAGACCTTGCAGGCGGGTCCTGGCGCCAACGGAGATAAGATGAGGAAAGTGATGAGGAACTTGGGTGAGCCCGTGAGCCCCTTTCAAATGAAAACCAATTGGAAGTTGGAAGAAGTCCATTCTGATCAACCAGTACATTCACCAAGAAAGCAAATCGATGTTCAATCCTTAAGCTGTAATGTATGTTTCATATTGTGTTTGGGTGCTGTTCTCGCGAGGTCTTGACCAATTCGGAGGCAAAGCTCTTGGAGCTCAGCGAGTTGCCTGAAAGCTTTCACGAGCTGTGCCCAAAGGCAGAGGAAAGGGCTGAATGAAGGGAGACGAGAAGGTACACTTGTAGATCCCCACCAGGAGACCAAACAAGGTAGGTACTGTAGATGTCCACTTTGCGGTCTATGTAATATGATAATATGGCCCAAAGGGTCTATATAATGCTGTTTGTTTAGACACGATTGGTAACAAAGTTTTACTACACCCTTACAGTAGGCCCTTCAGACAGTATTTAGAATCCCTTGTATGGGGGCAAGTCGGACACTGTCCCATTTTGGCATCTCATTGGTGCCTTCTCCGTCTCCCAGGGCCGCACATAGGGATTGAATGTTGTGCACTCTTATTCCATGAAAGTGGAGCACATCCCCTTTGTCCTTCGGAACATGTTGTCTTCATCCACCAAACCGCGCTGGTTTGCAGGTGGCAGCGCCTGAAAGCGCCCAAGTGCCCATCAGCTGGGCCAAGGAGCTCCTAGAGAAGCAGCCAGGCTTGAAAGAGACACGCTTTCATGCGGTGCCAAAGCGGCTCAAGGAGGCCCCTTGGGTGGAGGGTTCGCGGGGGTCCGGGGGTTCTGTTCGGTGGCAGTTCGATTGATGAGCTTGGGAGTCCGGCTCCTAGGGTGAGTCCTTGGATGTTTGGGTGTTCAACTTTAGTTCAAAGGTCACCTGGCTATAGGAGCCAGCGTGTGCGAAGTCTCCCAGAAACTAAAGCACCTTTGCATCCAATGGAAAGGATTGGGCCCTGATGTGTTATACAATGCTGATGCTACAGCAAAAGAAGCATCCCACCCAGTTCCTCCCAAGTTGCCGTTTTCGATGCTTGGGAGGAAGACTTCTGGGACCGCTACTTTGCTGCGGTCTTTCAAATTCTTGAAAGAGAACTGCTTGAGCTAAGATCTCAGGATGCAAAAAGTTCCGTGCACCTTCAGCCAGGGGGGGTAGGGAATCCGCGTTCACTTGCAAAGGTATGCGATCACCACAGGCTGCAGTGGCTAGATTGTTCTATATATGACGTTCTTTGCAACTTCTCTCAAAACGATTACATGACATTGCCACGGATAGTTTTGTTGGTACTCACTTATTTCTTAAGTGAATCGTTGGCCCAAACCTACGCTTACCAGTCAGGATGCCCAACATGATCCCAAACCCTTCCCCCATCCCATCCCAGCCTTCTGAGCCTAAGTAGGCCACACACACACACACGCCAAGACCACCCACCACCTCACCCGACCATCTACCACCTGCACTGTCTCCCGCTTCTAGCTGCGCGCGGCTCCCGCCATGAGCATTTTCTCATGGCGGCGGGTCGCTTCTCACAGTTGGCGGGGGAGCTGCCGAGATCTTTGCCGAGGTCGCCTTTGCTGCCCTGGGAGGCAGTAAAGGCTATCGGAGGTCTAGGGCGACAGCAACGCTGGGCGGAGGCCCTGGCTGTGTTCTGGCCCTTGGTTAGACAAGAACGCGCCAATCTCATCGTGTGGAATAGCGTGATCAGCGCCTGTGCCGGAAGAGCTTGGGAATGGTCAGTGCTGTTGCTCTCGCTGCTGGAAGTGGATGCTGAGAATGAGGCAGATGCGATCAGCGCCTCGGATGCAGTGAGGCACACCGTAAAAAGAGATGGCAAGAGTTCTTTGCCAGATGTGGTGCAGTTCTGAACATGCTCGTGATATCGTTTGATAATTCTCACCTGCTGAGTTCAGACTCTTATTTGTTGGCGCGTTACTTGTTGTTTGCTGACGACCTCAAGGCTACAACACCGTGCTCACCGCTTTGATGCGCTCGTCAGAGATCTCCGCAGCTGTGCGGTTGTTGCACGAGATGCCAATGAGGCAGATCCTGCCGGACACCTGTTCCCCGGTTTTGCGGAATGGGTGAATTTTGATTCTCGTGGTTGAGCCTCCTGTTGTGGGAAGAGTTGTTGTTGTTTTTTTCTTCCGCCATCCAAGGTTCCTTCAACACGGTCATGGGCAGCTTGGCCAAAGAGCCGACACTTAGAATTCAATTGTGATGGATCAGGAGGGCTGTGGGGCTTCGTCCATTTTCGTCTCATCACATCTTGGTCAGTTCAGGTCTCGTGTAGACCCAGTTTGGCTTTTTAGTGAAATTTTAGTGGATTGACTGGACCTTCGATGTCAAATCCCAGGTGCGAAGCAAACGATTGCACCCGAAGTCGATCAGCTCGAAAAAGAAAGGATGGTACGCGAGGTACCAAGCCGCGCGGCCTTTTCGCAGGATCGAATCCGACCCGTCTTGAGGTGGTGAAAGGTTTGCGGTTCCATGAAAACATGACTCACCGCCCTGGGACCTAAGTGACATGCAGTCAACTTCACATGGGGGAAGAAGGGCTTGTCGGTGAGTCAACAACAGTCGTCACACCTTCATCTTGAAGGTTTCGACTTTCCAACCAGGTGCAAATGGCTGTGCGGAGACTCGTGCCTCCGGATATCTGGACACAGTCGGGCGGCAAAATGCGGCCACTGCGTTCAAAAAGATCTACGTTCCTCTGGTCACGGCCTTCGAGGGAGCTGCAGCGAGGATTGATGTGGAGCTTGCGACCATGCTTTGCCACGTAGATCCCACGGTGAAGTGGGCACTCCAGCCTATGGCTGTCCATCTCGACCAAGCATCGGCGCAGGATGGCTGCGGCTCGGTACATCAGCTCTCCAGCGTAATTCATGTTGGCAATGGCAAGGTCGGTGGTCTTCTTGTTTTCAATTGCAGCGGACTGGTACTCCAAGGCGCGCAGCTGCCATTCCTCAATCTCCGCCCTCAACCTGCGAGAAACAGGCGTCTCATCAGTTTGAGTCCAGGCCACGGTGCACATAGCTAAGGCTTGTACATGAACTTCAGCACGACTCCAGCGACCCAGCATGAAAAAGGTGCCGGCAAGCAAACAAAGCACTGTGCACAGCATCACCAGGAAGTTGTCCTCTCCAGCTAGGGGCTCTGACTCTGCAATGGTGTCCGCAGTGACACCTGGCAGCAGCAAAAGAACCATGGTCCACATCATGAGGTTCCGGAGGTAGTGCTCGTAGGCCGTCCAAGGCCAGCGCCCGCCATGGCTCGGAACTACAGTGTCGACGTTCAGCAACCACAAAGTGCTCCTCAGACACCAGGGCATACTCACAAGCCTCAAGCAAGTAGGAGACTGTGACATCCGTGACTGCCATGTGGGCATATTCAAGGTGGTTCACATAGGCAGGCATGTCATCGGGGAAGGTGTCATTCTCAGGGAGATCATTGCCAGCGGGTTGAACTGCTTGATGATGTTCATCCGTCAAGGGCGGTGAACTGAAAGTGCTCTCCTGCAGACTGGCTTTCAACTCATCTTTGGTTTTCTTCTTAGATCCCAGATGAGCTTCAGCTTTCCGTAGCGCAAGCGGTCAGCCAGCAAGCCACGGGCGCTTTCTTTTGTGAGGCCATCAGCCAGCTGCCTCTCAGATGACATCCATCTGAGGCTTCCTCCAAGTGCAAGGAGTCTTTCTTTCATCACTCGCACTTCAAGCGAGACACGCTTGTCCACCACGGAGTTGCCATAGCCTTCTCGATGAAACGAGTCATACAAGGCCTTGGCGTCGGTCACCATCGTTGGTTCCAGGGTGGACTTGCAGTCGAGCAACTCCTTGAGCTTCCGGCGAGGGTCGAGCAAACAGTTCCAATAGACACAAACATGCTCTAGTGCATCACATGCCTGTCCACCTCCTTGAGCTTCAGCGCCAAGCGACGATCAAGCAACTCTCGGAGTCTTCTGGCTCCTCCAGTCCAGGATATGGTATGCCCCTTCAACACCATCAGGACGAAGGAGGGACTTGTTGATCAGCAAAATGATGTAGCCGATCTGAGAGCTGCCATCGGTACGAGTGGCAAATGCTGCATCAAAGAAACAAAGGAGGTGAAGGTCCTGAACCTCGCCCAAGTGCTCATACACCAAGCCAACATCGGAGTTGTCCTTGCTGAACTTCAGAAGCTTGTTGCAGTCCATCAAGGTCTGATGGCCTTGGAGATCTGACCACTGAGGATCGAGGTGCTTCCCTGTAGATGTGGACTTGATTGAACTGCGGGCCATTGAAGGGAGCCAAGCAATGCTCGAAGTTGGGTCAGGTCACGCTCCAAGATGATCTCGATGACATCACGGCGCTTGTCGACTGTGATGGGCTTGATCTTCTTCATATAGCTGTCCTGTTCGATCTTGTAGCCATTGGTGTCCGTGAGTTTGATGTCACAGACACAATACGACAGACCATCACTATCTTGCCCAGTCTTCCATTCCCTGAAGTTGAAGGTGGTCTTCAGCTTGGAGATCATCGAGCGATAGGCCTGAGAATCATCGGAGCCGCAGCCCAACATGTCATCAACATGCATGATGATCAGTCCACAAAGGCCACAGGGTCCCAGCAAGTGTGGCTGTTCTTGGTCCATGACGAAGCTTGGATTGAGGTCAGCTTCATAGGCCAGAAAGCAGCATGGATCTTGAGCGTGTTGTTTGAGACCCATGTCCAACAGTTTGTCCACAGCAGCCATGTACCACGATCGGGGAGCATCGATCTGACCATAGCACGGCTTCAGGAGGAGCATCCGTGTGTCGGATGGGGCTCCCAGGAGTTCGAGGCACTCTGGAGGTAGCTGCACCCACAGTTTTCTGCTCTGCGGTTTTCCTTGTAAGAAAGCGGTGGCAATGTCTGATGTCCAAACCGGCCACTTCATCGTCGCAGCCAGACTCAGTAAGCAGGAGCGAGAGAGCCGTGTCGTGGTCGGGGATGAAGTGGGCACAGTGCCATCCCAAGCGTCTGGATCCATGAAGCCACGGACGATGAGCCTTGCTTTTGCTCTTGGTGTTCCGTCCGGGTTCTTCGACCACTTCAACAGCATCCGGCTCGTCAACGTTCGAGCTGGTTCAGCTTCTCTCACGCTCTCGAAAGTCCAAACCTGGTTCTCAAAGAAGGACTTGAGCTCTTTCACCTTGGCGGCCTTGAATTGAGCCCTCTCATCAGGAGTCATTGTTCTTTCAGTCAGGTTGTTCTTTTCCTTCTTGAACGCCTTAGCATGGCGCTGCTTGGTCATCTTGCCCATCTGACAGGCACCAACAAGTGGTTCCTTCACATACATGGCGAGCTCCTTCCGCACATCACCCTTGATTTGGAACACAGTCACACCTGTCCATGAAGAGCTCGTGGGAGGTGAAGTGCACGTACCATCATCTGTGAACTGCTGACAGTGACCATTAGTGGCACAGACCACGGTGACCCGGACATTGTCCAGCTGGGCAGCTATGAATGGTGCATCCTTTGGAAGGTGTGCCAAACTCATCTTCTGTCGACGTGGCACAACATGATGTCTGATCATGCACCCAGCGCGAACTTCCCAGTAGTCGATGGGATATTTTCGCAATTGGAAGTAGCCTTCTTCAAAGGTCCAGCCACGAGGCAGGCAATTGGCCACCAGCTCGTCAATCATGAAGTCTTGTGATGCAAGGGCAGAGTCTCGCTCTGCATCAGCAGCTGATGGTGGAGGCTCTGGTGCCGAGGAGGATGGAGCAGTTGGATACGGATCACTTGCTGCGTGTGGCCTGACACGCCAGGGACCAAAACTCAGGGTTTCCTGTCGATTGAAGCGATTTCGCCTTTCCTGGAATGTCTCAGCATCCACCGTGTCGTACAGTGCAGCTGTTGCTGGATCCAAGACTGGACGAAGTGGTTGCGCATGATGTGGTGTTGGCACTGTCGGCTCAGCTCCCGGCTCTGGAATGCTGGGAGGTGGAGAGCGTGACCTTCTTGAGGTTGGTGAAGCCGGCAAAGAATTGGGCACAGGTACTTCAGCAGCATGTGGTTCAGGGTGCCATGATTCCAGTCGGAGATGTAGGAGCATATCCTGAGTGTGCCGGAGAAGTGGGTTCATACTCTTCTGCCTGCAGATCATCATCCATAGGTGGCTGTAGACGAGGTCGATGAGCTGGTGGACCTTGTGTTGAATCATCGTCCAAGGAACCATGTGGATCATCCAGCTGTTCATCATCATCAACATCGTCCAAGCGTTGCCTGTTCACTCGCTGCAGGTCATACCATCGGGTGACTCCACGAGACTTCAACTGGCGCGCCTGATTCAAGGCTTTCTGCAGGTCGTCGATGACATGGTTTGGACCCAGGATGTCTCCCCGAACATGATGTGGTGCTGCTCGGATGAGTTGTGTTTTTGTATGCCAGCCAGTAGGTCTTGACAGCGGGCTTGGAACCTTCAGTGGCGGCGTGCTCTTCTCGCATGACCGCATGAGCAGGTCCTAACCAGCGAATCTTGTTGAGCAATCCCTGTTTTGCATCACGCCAGAACCAAACTTTCTCGCCCAGGTGGAACTCCTTGTTCTGCCCTTGATAGCGGCGACCAAGGGCGCGTCGCAGCTTACTGTCAGCATCCGCTGTTGTCAGGGCAGTCTTGGCAGCGGTCCGACGTTGGGGGTTGGCCTCAAAGGTCTCATTGGTGCCAGCAAGTTGCGCTGGATTGAGATTAGAGTCCAGGAGAGTGGAAAGCTCCGGCTGGTAGCCCAAGACCCATTGCGAAGGCGAGAGCCCAGCCACGGAGGGAGCACCATTATTTGTTGAGGCACGATGTGAGCAATGGCTTCCCGGATTCCTTTCTTGTTGGTGAGATGGCGATCAGTGAGGTAGATCTCAATGGCCTTGCGCAGGACGGCGTGCCTCCTCTCCACGAGTGCCAGGCGCTCATGTGCTTCGCCTGGTGCAACTTGATGGTCGATGCCCCAGGATGTCGTCCAAGCTTCCATAGAGGCCCCAAGCCAGGATCTTCCTTCATCAGTGACCAATGCCTTTGCAGCTCCGAAGTGGCGACACCACATCTTCTCGAGGGCGTGCAAGTAGGAGTCGGTGGTCTCATCGTCAAGCAAGTAGGCAGCCATAAAACGTGTGCCAACATCGACCATGCTAAGCACAGACCATTTGCGGTCGTTGACCTTCAGGTAGAAGACATCAGCTTGGACAGTGTCATTGAAGCGTCGGCTCTGCGGCATTGAAGACGGAGCTGCCTCATTTGGTTTC